TGGGTGAGTCGGTGCCGCTGGCGAGGCCCGCTGGAAGACCCTGCCTCGCCTCTGGCTGGATGGTTACAGCTAACCGTAGACAGTAAATGTTCACTCTGCTGGTTTGTAGTCAGTGGGCTCCAGGGAAAAGGGTCTCCAGACTTTCAGGAGTGACTGTTGTTGACTTCTTGACAGTGTGGTGCTACCTTGATGCCAAGTGATAATTCACGTGATGGTAAACTTGCTCTCTTTCCAGGGTCGCAGGATGCTGCTCATGATCTGGAGACGATGAAGAAGTATAAGGTAACATCGTGTAGCGATTAAAAACATACCTCACGTAGTGCTTGTTAGAGGATTTTTTTTTTAAGTTGGAAAACTCTAAAAAATGTATGTTCTCAGGTAACTTTAAAGATAGTAGTAATACTACATTTATACTTTAAAAAGGCTGCTACCAATAAAGCTTGCAGCAGCTCCATTCACAGATGGATGGATGCATGTGAGTTTCACAAGAGGCTGAAATACTTTGCTGCAAGACTCATGATTGTTTAGCACTATTTATAGAATACATTCTGGCATTGCTATACATGTTCTTAAGTTTCAGATGCTAGCCAGAATCAAACCCACTGGCTTCTATGGGAGTTGTTAAAAGGAGAAAAACAAAGCAATAACTCTAAGTCTGTCCTGAACATCCATCTTTTTACTCTTCTTTGCTAGGGTAATGAGGTGGTATGGCCTTCAGACCATTGTGCTTCTGCAGGACAGGGCGTGCACTGACCTGGCATCCATTGCCATCTAAATGTCACTTCGCCATAAATTAAAACAATCCATGACTTCACCATACCTTGAACAGAGCAAATATGGTAGGAAGCCAGATTTGCTCTTTTCTGCCAAGTGCAAGTATAGTTTACTCTGAAATTCTTGTGTTCCAGTAAACATTACTGGTGAGTCAGTAGAAACAACATCACTGTGACGGGCTTGGGCAGGCTTTGAAATTTGGGGGATTATGGGGTGTCATTCTGTCAGTACAGGGGTGACCTGTACTGTCATTCCCATTGGTTTCTCTTTTATTTTCCATCTGTATGCTGACAACTCCCTTTTCTGTTTAAAATCCTTACTTCAGTCTGTATGTTTGGGTGAGCACAGATCACTTAATTTCCTCTGATTTGCGATGAGGGGAGGGGAAAAAAAGGAAGTCTTCAATCACATGATTTGTAGTAAGAGGTTTAAAGCTTATTGACCAGGTTGTATGACTGGCTTGGTGCCATTGAGTATCCTCAGACAGCAGATCTCAGTGTCACAATAAATTATGGGGCATTAGCATTCATCCCTGAACGCTATGGTATTTACGGTCACTCTAAATTTCTTGGCACTTCTCTGCAATACTTCAGCTTTCTGTCAAATTCAGTTTAGCTGATCAGTTTCTCACCACATCTGACAAATTAATATTTATTCTTCTTTTATTGTTGGGTAGTGTGTCTCTGTACTGTAAAATGGAAGTTATGCTCCATCCAGAGTTGTTTAAACTGCAGTGATGAAATAAATGATTCCTACTTGTAAATTGAAATGGATTTTGAGTACCTACCTGGTGATCAGATAGTAAATAAATTAAAGTTGTGACTCAGAGTAACTTCAGTAGATATGAAGTTACTTATTTGAAATACCTCATTGCCCTAATGATCATTGCCATTTTGTTTTAATAAAAAAGAAGAAAAGTGAAATATAGCACAACATATTTTAACACTCAGTAAAACTTTACTTTGAAAAAAACACACCATAGGCAGGCTATATATATAAAACTGAATGAACAACAGTGCAGTTGCGTACATTACAGTCTATGTATGTCTAATGAATAGTCTACCTTTCTTACTGTTCAGTTGCTTGCAGTCTTCAGAAAATGCTTTTTTTTTTTTTTTTGGACTTAGGTTACTCATGTTCTAAATGTGGCATACGGAGTCCAGAATGCCTTCCTCAATGACTTTATATACAAGAGCATTTCTATTCTGGATCTCCCAGAAACTGATATTACCTCCTACTTCCCAGAATGTTTTGAGTTTATTGAGAAAGCCAAGATCCAGGTACAGTATATGAATAATTAATGCTACTAGTTATCCTGTTTAGATTATTTATTGCACTATTTAAAATCTAAAGCAAAAAAGAACATGTGGCACCAAATGAGTACCTTTGTCATTGCTTTTTTCATTTTAAGTAGAGAATTCAAGCAATTTCTAAGCATTCGTAGAAACATGACCCTGCTATTAATCCCCATTCCCTATCAGTGTTACTTTTTTTAGAATGACTGATCTGCATGTTATAGAGACATGCTTCTTTAACAAAGCTGTTGTGTCTTTAGATAAAGAAATCCCATCTAAGTCCAAGTTCCCGTATCTGACAGAGAGAAAAGGAAAAACTTTTTTGCTTTTTTTGCTTTTTAAACATCCGTCAGAGCAATTGTTTTGAGTTAGAAGAAAAGGTAACAGGAAGATGAATATGGCTTATACAGCTCTATATGGTTTGTCAGGTGCCATCTACCATCTTTGTGCTTTTTCTCGACCGTTCACTGAAGATGCAACACATTAAACTGTGAAGCCACATGCAGTTATGTACAAAGACTGTCAGAGAACTCTCTGTAGTCTTGAAGCTAATGAGTGATTTCTTGCTAATAAAATCCTGAAAAAGACGTGACATAGGAAATGGAGTGAAGGGACTGCTTTTGGAATTGCTTGGCAGTCCTATATATGACCCAGATTGTCCCTGATTCCTATTTGTAAAATTCAGACTTACTGTATTTTCATAGCAACCTTTGCTTTAGTATAAACACTATGGCTTGACAAACAAACCTTATTGGGCATTATTCCACTATATCTGCCGTATTCATTATTTACATAGTTTGGGATAAAAGAAGTTAATCTTGTCCCGGCTTTCTTTGTGTCACACGGTGTTCTTTCCTTCTCTCATATATCATTTATGAGCTATGTGATACACTTTGTCACTTAATAACCTTTTTAAGGTTTCTAGTTACGGTTTCCACTTCATTTCTAAATGAGACTTGCCATTCATAACTGCAACTGAGTTGCTGCTCTGCCTCTAGTGTTTATGTTCCAGTTACTATTTTGTAAGCAAGGAAATCTTCCTGAAAACTTTTATAGCAATATTAGTAGCTTTGTAATGGAAGAGTTGGGCAAAAGATCAGATAACTGATAGAATAGATGTTCTCAAGGAGCAGTTCATGAAGCATGTGATAGTAGTGTGTGGAAAGTGGGATGGCTGGATGGTTTTGAATCCTCCTATTTGCTTTGTCAAGATAGTGTTAAAAAGGCTTATGATAAGCGGTGTAATGAAGTTGTAGTGCTTTTGTATGTAAGTAGTTACAAAGAGATAGTTTCATTCCCTAAGGTGGGGGAGGGAGAGAGGATCACTGATGAAAGAAAGTGTGATATATAGGAAATTATTCCTAAAACATGGTTAACTGAAGGAGTATGAGAGCACTTATATTAGAGAATGCAAGTAAAGGCTGCACTGTTCCTTAAGTTACTGACAGCTGGTACTCGTAATAGATGGAGTTTTAGAAAACTATAACTGCTCGAGTCTGTAGACACCATGGTACTAATTCTGATACTGATCAGAGCTCACCTCTTCTTCTGGACTTCAAACAGACAGATTGACTACAAGGTATTAGGTGACCCATGTCAAATCATATCACTATGAATGAGGAGTAGTTTTTATTTTTTGGTTTAATATCTAATCATAAAGTTTATAAAATCTTGTCTTTCAAGAGTGTGCAAAGAACTCTTAGCTCATTCACAAACATCTCTCCTTATTACTTTCTCTCTCTCTCTCTTAAAGCAAAAGCCCTGGCACTGCTGAAAAGTAAAGTGAATCCTAAAGAAACTGTGTTAGCCTGGTTCTTCATCTTAGAGCTTGATGCTTCTTTTTCACTGCTTTCCTCAATGGGGTTTTTTGCTGACTGTGCTATATAATCACTATTTCCTTTTGGTGGGAGGACACTATACTTTCTCCTATATAAAAATTCCAAGAAAACTTGGTCTTAAATCTTGCAGGTTCTTGTAAGTTGATAGACCATTTCTGGGTAGGAGAAGGTTGGGCTACAAGGATCAGAGCAGAGACTTCTTAATAAATAGAGAGTAGTTTAATATCTGCACTCTATTTCTTGCTTTTATTCTGTATTCATATCTAATGCAAAATTAATAATGATGTTCCAAATTCATCTCTGTATAAAAAAGCAAGCAACAGGGTTTAGCAAGGAAGGCTAAATGTGCTCAGTGGTAACTTTGGTTTAATGTTGTTGCCCTTGTTCATTCGTGTTCAGTAATTTTCAGTTCTATTGCATTGATATCATTATATAATTTTTGGCAGTATACCACAGAGCAGTCATAAAAGGAAACTTGAGAGAAATATGAAACAGGAAAGTAAAGCATGAACTGTACAAGAAAAAAATGAATCACTTTCAACTGTTGATTTTTCACTCTCAACGTCACTGCTAGATATTGATCTCAGTTACAGTAGGTTATGTCTGAAATAACCCATTGAATCAGTAAAAGCTACTGCAGATCTACAGTGGATAAGCTTGAGCAATTGCTTCCTTAGCAGTGGCATAAATGTAATTTTTTAATATCATATTATTCTTACTAAGGAGGCAACAGATTTAGAGTTTTCCAGTGGCATGTCTGCAATGAATTGAAATACAGAGATATGTCTGCTTTCCACTCTCTTGCAGTGCGTGGTCAGGAAACACACCCCTATGAATGTGAGAAAGTGAATGAAGATTATGATATCCAGTAGACAATGCAAAGGGGATGTGATTTGCAAAGCGAGAAGGGGTGAAACTGTGATTCATTGTGCTGGGATTCAGAAGTTTAGATTCAGTTCCTAACACTGCCATAATCTTGCTGTGTTAACTTGAGCAAGTCATTCTTCTAGTCTTAGCTTAGCACTTATTCAACAAGAATAATACTTCATTTCATATGTCTTTGTCTTATTGTTTAAACTGAAAAATCTTTGAAGCAGGAACCATTTTCTGCTCTGTGTACCAGATGATTGGTACTCCAAGGTCTGTACCTAAATCGTAAAGTTCCTGAAAAGGAACCCCGCCAGTTACAAGATCTTTTTTCCTCTGGGTAAAATGTACATTGAGTAATTTGTGCATGTTAAAGGCAGGCAAAGCTGACTGTAACTATAATATATTTGTTTAGCCTCAAATATCCGAGCACGTTTTGTGTTGTGTTTCGGTATCTTTATCCAGAGCGTGGAGATGCTGGCAGAGAGTTTGCTAGGTTGTAGTCTAACATGCAAACATGACAACTTCACAAAGCCTGGGCATTGCAAATGTGACCTAACCGACACTACACTGTCCAGTGTCTGTCTTTATGATTGTTAACTCATGCCCATTATATTTTAATGAAACTTGCAGTGCCTTTTTGAAGTGTCATGAAATTGCTTCAAAAGTTGTTCAGCAAATATTTAAGTAGGGTAAAAGTATTAATTTTGTATATAATTCAAGATGAGCCTGAATTTAACCACCAGCAGAAACATCTGTGAATTTAAAAGAAGTTCAGTAGTACTGGATTTTGCACCTTAGTCCCTACCTAAGGGACCATAGTTGTACCAACTGATACAATTGGATCAGCAGTATGATGGGGAGGTAGAGATTTGTTGCAAGTCATGCTTTAACTTTGCTGATTTTTCTGTTCCCTATGCATAATCGTGCTTGCCCAGAATCTTCACTGAAGAACTCCAGAGTACACAAGAAGCATGACTGAAACTATGGAATATTCTAATTCATATCTACCTCTGCCTAAGAGCTTGCTGCATCACTATATTTTTAATCTGGTTACAAGATACAGTCAAGTTCCTCTCTGTATTGCAAATACAATCTATTTTTAAATTAGCACCCAATATCTTAGTATCCCAGATGTATTTGATTTGGATTTTATGCGAGGGACATGCTGCAAGGTCTTGGGGAAAGGGACAGAGGAATGGGATCTGGTAATTATTTCTATGACATTAGTATAGTTAGGTCTGAAGTATTTGGTAGTTATAAAGTGGCTTTTGACAAATACTTAATTTGAGGTTCTCTATCTTGTTTGAAGTTACTTACATGTGTATATGTTTTTGTTTTGGACTCCTTAAGGAGTTTTAATACATATTAATACATTTCATATTAAGTTTCCAGTACTTGTTACTATGTATTTTATGAGTATCCCAACTAACGTGTTTCATTTGTTTCTTGTAGGATGGCGTGGTACTGGTTCACTGTAATGCAGGAGTCTCTCGTGCAGCAGCAATAGTCATTGGTTTTCTAATGAATTCAGAAGGACTCAGTTTTGCTAGAGCCTTTTCTTTGGTGAAAAATGCAAGGCCTGCTGTTTGTCCAAATCCTGGCTTCATGGAGCAGCTTCACAAGTACCAAGAACACAGTAAAAGGGCAAATGGAAGCATAAATGATCATGACTGATCAAAAGGGAGAAGTGAAACAATCTATAAGTATACAGTAACAGATGTTGGATGTACTTTAATCTGTCATTTTGCAGTTCCTTTTCACATGTGCATTTAAAATTCATTCTCTACACATTTTTCTTCTGTGTTTCCCCCTCCTGTTTTCAGCATCTAATCTAGAGGCCAAATGGTGTTCTACTGACTTCAGAGAAGATTTGGCTCAAGAACCAGCTCTTCCTAGAGCAACGTTAGAAAGATCAAGTTCTCTTTTCCTTGCAATATTAGAAAAAACAGAATGATGGGCTTTATTGAACCATCAGACAATGCAGGCAATAGAGACAGAACATAAAATGATAACTGAGATAATAAAGTTGCCGTTTTTACTTTAATACTAAACCAAATCTTTATCCATTCTAGTTGATTGTAACACCTAGATAATAAAATATTCCTGTAATACCATACCTTGCTATTAGGTCTTGATTTGGTGTTGCAAAGAAAGAAGATTTTATTGAATTTCATGGGCTAGCCAGCTGATAAATATTTTTAGAAATTAAACCAGGTGGTCTTTTGATGGAATTAAAAAAGGCATGGAGTGCTTTAATGCTTTATTTCTTTTTACTGTTTCCCATCAAGTTGTGTTTTGAAGTGCACTAACGTGATGTTTTTGAAATGCTGGAACCAGGCGATCAGTTTTCATTTTGGTAGATTGTTTCAGTGAAGATATGAAAAATGTTTAAAGCAACATCTCTCAGACTCACTGCTACTGCCTTTTTTTGTATCCAGTTCTCCTCTCCACTCTCACTCCGTTCAGCATCACCTAAAAAGAACAGCTGTGATAGGATAGATGACTTTGGCTTTTTGTCTTGTTATCCTCCTGCCACATCTCAGGCTGGAATAACCATCTTAGGATGACACTTCAAAAAAAAAAAAAAAGAATCTGTAAAAGATTTTGTTAATGTAATCAGTGTTTTCTGTGGCCTTCATGCCAGCTCTAAATGGTTTGATGTATTAATATAAAATAAAAAAACCTGTATTTGGTTAAATTTTGTGTTAAATGAGAGATATTTGAAACATTTGTTCACAAGTACTGATACTGGGTTCTCTCCTTCTCATACCACTAATTTGAATTGCAGTGTACCATTGAGTTTGGACTACACCGTGTGTAGTTCTCTGTATTAATTGTTCATGCTAACTATCAATGCAGGTTTTAGGTTCGCCCCATGTTGCTGTCTGGTCCCCCTTTTCCCGTTGCAACAGGGGAAGGGACCAGTCTCTGTGAACCCTGGAAACGCCAGCCCATCGTTTTCTGCGGTGAGAAAGCTTTTCTGCTTCATCTGCCGCAGGTTCAGGAGTTCTCAGCCCACAGAAACAGCACGGAACCAGCAGCTGTAATCACAACGGTGGGCCTGCGCCTTGTCGGTGCGGGCCCTTCCCAGGGGCTGCGGGCTGGCGCTCGGCGGAGCCGCGGCGGCTCCGGTCCCCGGGCGACAGCGAGGGCGCCCCGCTC